CTAGGAGAGGCTGGGACGAGCAGTGTGCAGCCATCCTGGCCGAGACGAAGCGACTCCGCCGCGACCACAGCGAGCGACAGACAGAGGAGAGCTGGGAGGCATACAGAACAGCACGCAACAGGAAAGGACGCATCATAAAGAAAGCTCTCCAACAAGCACACCGCGAAGCAGTCGAAACAGCGGCCGAGTCACCTAGCTCGCTGTGGAAGATCGCCAAATGGGCCCGGAACAGACAAAGCCAGCCGCCTACTGTTACGCCGGAAATTAAGAGACCCAACACGTCTCAGGTCGCCACAACGCCTGAGGAGAAAGCAGCACTCTTCAAGGAGACCTTCTTCCCCCCGCCGCCCGAGGCAAATCTCGAAGACATCGACAACGCATCGTACAGCAACCAGATTGGCCTGCCGCCAGTGTCGGAAAGCGAAGTAGAGGACGCCATCCAGGAAGCAGCACCGCTGAAGGCCCCGGGCCCCGACGGCATCACCAACCTGGCACTCCAAGTGGCGAGGCCATGGATCACGCCACATCTCGTCCGCATATTCAATCAGAGTCTCCGGTTAGGATATTGTCCACAACACTTCAGAAAGTCCACCACGGTGGTGCTCAGAAAGCCAGGCAAAGACAACTACACAGTGCCCAAAGCATACAGGCCGATAGCCCTCCTCAACACGGTGGGCAAGATCATGGATGCCATCATAGCGAGGAGACTGAGCTACCTTGCCGAAACACACGGATTGCTGCCAGATAGCCACATGGGCGGGAGAAGATGTCGGTCGACGGAACACGCACTGCACCAAATCGTGGATAGGATATACGAAGCCTGGGGTTCAGGACAGGGAATGGTAGCAAGCCTACTTCTCCTGGACGTGTCAGGCGCCTTCGATAACGTTTCGCACCGCCGACTCCTGCACAACCTGCGGAAGAGGCGGATTGACGAAGCGACGGTGCGTTGGGTTGCCAGTTTCCTCGGATGCCGAGAGACGGAGATCCACGTGGATGGATTCCGATCCGAAACCTACAGGCTCGACACCGGCATCCCACAAGGGTCGCCCCTTTCGCCGATACTCTATCTCTTCTATAACGCAGATCTCTTGGATAGCTGCAATGAGACCGGAGACACGACAGCCACCGGCTTCATCGACGACGTAGCGATCCTTGCCGTGGGAGACAGCACGGAGGAAACCTGTCAAAAGCTCCAAGAAGCGCTTTGGAAAGCCGAGACGTGGGCTCTCACTCACGCGTCCGTCTTCGCGCCCGAAAATTTCCAGCTTACCCACTTCACAAGAGCGAAAACCCGAATCGACAGAGACACAACACTCCACATCCCATGGGGAGAAGTTAAGCCCAAGGCAACCTGTAAATACCTCGGTCTCATCATGGACTCAGCCCTCAAGTGGAAACAACACATCGACGAGACAGAACGCAAGGTCACGAACACCATCACAGCACTCAGCAGTCTAGGCAGCTCCACGTGGGGCGTGATGACGAGAGAGATGAGGACGATCTATAGGGGAGTGGCAATACCACAGATGATGTACGCATGCTCGCTGTGGTCCAACAGCGGTTGGGGTGAGATGGGCTACACGAAAAGAACATTAAACAGACTGCAGAGGCTCCAAGCCAGAGCAGCCAGGGCAATGTGCGGAGCATACAGAGCAACCTCGTTCCCAGCACTGGATGTGGAAATGCACCTCCTGCCAGTCGAACAACAGATTTGGAAACACAACATCGACACCATCAGCAGAGTAGGCATGGCCGAAGTCACCGCGCGTAGAGGAAAGAAAATTAGCCCGAGAGAGACGATAACAAACCGAATACGCGATGGACAAGACGTAACCAACGAACAACACGAGCACGAGCACATACCGCCCTTCATCACTCCCCCGTGGTGGCAGGGACCGCGTATCCACATCGCCGGAGGCACGGAGCAGGCCGAGAAAGAACACGAACGTTGTCTGGAAAACAACACCGACGCAGCCCACATCTATACAGACGGCA